CCTAGTTCATTCAGTCACTCATTCGTTCTACGTATGTGTTTCATCCTTTTTTTTTGGTTTTCTTTTTTCCTTCATCGGTTTCCTTCATTTTTTCTGTTCTTTAATCAATTTTCTTTGTTTCTTTAGCAGTTCTTCTCAGTTTTTTTGTCTTTCTTTTTTCTTTATTATTTATTTCTTTTTTGGGTTCTCCTTATTTTTATGCTTTAATTTTTTCTTTGTTTTCTATGTTTCTTATTATAGTTTTTCTTCATTTTATTCATAAATTTTTTGTATGCACCAAGACAATTTTATATACACGTTTAACATTTTTTAAATACTTGATTATTTTTATGAAAACATATGTTTTTTATGTCTACTTTTCATACACATTATAGATTCTTTATACACCAGAAACATTTTTTATACACGTTTGACATTTTGAAAATACATGATTAAAATTCTGTAAACATATTTTTTTATGTCTACTTTCTCCATAAAAAATTTAGATTTTTTGTATACACCGGAAACGTTTTATAAATGCTTGTTTAACATTTTTTAAATTTATGACCAACATTTTCTAAAACATATTTTTATGTCTACTTCTTTCATGCACATTCTACATTTTTTATATGTTATTAACAGTTTTTGTTGTCCATATACGTGATTAAATTTTTTGAAAACTTATATTTTATGTTGTCTTATACATTTTCCGTATACACTAAAAACATTTTAACTACGGAGATTTAACTTTTTTGAAATGCATTATTAAAATTTCCAAAAAATGAAAACATATATTTTTGTTTCTAATTTTCTCCATAAGAATTGTACATTTTTCTTATACAATGGAAACATTTTCCCTATACATGTTTAACATTTATTATTGCATGATTAATATTTTTCATATTTTTGTTTTAAGTGACTTTTGTAATCTACATATTCATAATATTTTGAAATAAGAGGAAAAGTAAAAAAATAAAACAAAAATGAATGCAAAACAGTGAAGAAAACGAGAGAAAAAATGTGTTGAAGGCTGCGCTGGACCGCCCCAGGCAGCTACCTGAGGCGAGACGTCCTACTGTCTCACTTCAGGCAATACATAGGCGCGTCCCAATGAAGAGAAGTCCCATCAACTCCGGCAATTCGAGGGAAGGGGATTTTGCTCGCTTATATCGAGAGAAAAGAACCCTCGTCTTAGGTGCCCCCCCTAAATGGGTTGGACCATCGCGGAAAGGTGGGTTGGCTCCTAGCTCTTGTTTTTGTTTTATTACTTTTTTATATTTCCAAAATGGATACATATTTTACTTAAATATTAAAAAGTTAATTGCTTGTTTTAAAGATGTACATGTGATGAAAAAATGTTCGTGCAATTTTAAGAAAATGTTGATACTCCCTCCGACGCATATTAATTTCGTTGATTTTGTAGTCACTGATATAGTACAACTACAACTTTATACTGAATCAACGACAAATAATATGGATCGGAGGGAGTAGCATTTTAAACAAATGTTCATGACATGCAAAAAAGTTTCACAGACTTTGAAAATTAACAAGACCATCAACCGCGCTCGCTCATGTCACCGATCAAAGTAAGAGGAGGAGAATCCTTGTGATGGTCTTGGACGTCTCCTTCCTAATGCTAGCATAAGGTTGGCATTGTTGTTTGTCCCTTGATCTAGATGCTATAAGAGATGCTTATGATTGAAGTTATTGATTTGTAATCTTCATGATCTTTCGATGGCTCCTGATGTCTAAGCTCTTTTGGTTGCCTTTTTCTGATGGCGCCATAGTAGTCGGTGTTCAACCGAAAGCCAACATCCCAAATATAAGAAATACCTTTTGGTTTCTTTTGCCATGTGTTAACTAATTCTACTAGTTTTGTTTTTGGTTGCTTATGTCCCGTATTGAATATATGCGGTTGTTTTCAAGAACTCTCAGTCGGAGGTAAAACTATCCCAGATATAAGCATCGTCAGAGCCAAACTATCAGTCATATAGGCATTGTCAAGGACATCCCGACGACCAAAACTCTACATGGATGCATCGCCAATGGGGGCATCACCTTCCCAATGATCACATCAATAACACTGGAGGGGACACCTTCTGCTCCATTCATAGAATCGATGACATTCCAATATGATATTCACCACACTAAAGTGAGCTACCAATACCCTTGCAGTGCAATGACGGTTTACGTCCACGGGAGCAGCGAAACACGCAACCAGTGTGGACCATTGCCGATTTGTGAAATCCTTCATGTCCGATGGCTGGCCAGTGCTGAATTGATAAACTTTCGCGTCTAATAAATCAAAGGCTTGAATAAGGAAAGGACAATGGATGTAATAAACTGTTGTCCATAGTCGAGTCCGAAGGGAAGTGCGGTGCGGTGGTGATGTTGTAGAAAAAGAAAAGGGAAGACCAGCCCTGTAATCTAGATATGAAGCAATCGCGGAACCCACACACTCATTTTTTCATGGGGTTGTAAATACCGCAGAAATAGGAAAAAAATGCAGGATCTGGACGGTATGCCCTTTCAAAACTACATGCATTTTTAGATGTGTCTTCGAGATTTGTTAGGGTTTGTGTCTTGCTCAGAAAGGGGAGACGGTGGTGTCCTCTTAGAGATGGAACAAGGTTCTCCCCACCTAGCCCCTGTTTCCAGTGGTGTGTCTAGCATCGTCGGTGGATGCGTGGAGGTGTCTCTGGCGGATCTGTCCTTCGTGGATTTGCTCGGATCTGTTTGTCATTTGTCTATATTCATGTGTCTTCAGGTTGGATCTTTTCGATCTACGCTACTCTTCATCGACGACGGTTGCTGTTCTGATGCGCTAGTCCTATGGGGTCTTAACTCGACGACTCCCCGACTGTCTACTACAACAAGTTTTGCCCGACTTCGGTGAGGGAGGGGCGATGACGGCGGCATGCATGTTTTCTACTCGCTTCAGTACTTGTAGTCGTCGCTAAGTGGTCCACGACTCTGGATGTAATTTTTATTTTTTTATGTTTGTTGTATCCCCATGATTGAAGATGAATAGATCTGATGTTTTCCCGCAAAAAAAACGGCATGAGTTGAGTTTGTGTGATTGCATTAAACCCGGGCATGGGTGGCCCGGCCCGACAATCCCGACGGTCGAGCGGGCTTGGGCCTTGCTTTCTAGCCTGAAGCTCGAGAAAAGCCCGACAAACATGTAATTTTAGGATTTTAAATAAACATTAGGTATAATGTTGTATTATTTAACCCTGAACATAGGTTATTTATTATTAAAACAATGCAAAAATAGGCGTTTGCTGGGCTACGAGCCCGGCTGGGCTTGGGATTTTGTTGGTCGGGCTTTGTGAAGCCCGGCCCGAAGCCGGCCCAGCCCGGAGAATGCCCAGGCCTAGATTGCATCATAGAAAAAGAGCAAAGATTTCTTTCTTTGTTTCAAGAGGTTGGATCACTGATTGCAGTTTTTTGTTGGATTTCGTATGTAACGTAGTAGCACGAATGATTATCAAACCCTATTAGGATATAATCACATAGGAGTATTTATTTTGCTAATACTTCAAAAATTCTGCCCACGCGACCCACTCTCCGCCTGCGAAACAGCTTGTGGTTGGATGGTTAGGTGGACAGTGACATCCCGAGCCTATCAGTGCTTGTATCTACACCTATTTTGAGCGTAGATTCACTTATTTTGCTTCGTATGTAGCCCGTACCAAACTCTTAAAAAAGGCTTATATTTGGGAACCGAGGGAGGGAGTAGTATTTATATTTATTTTGCTAATCCTTCAAAAGTTCTGTATGCAACTTATTCTGTTTCAATAAATAATAAATAAAATTAGAAAAAGAAGAAAAGGGAAAACAGAAACTTGTTCATCCACGCAACCCATGCGCCTCCGCCCCGCTCCAGTCCACCACCACCCACCAGCGCCGTCCCTCCCTCCGCACACCAACACCCTCCCCCTCACCTAGCCAGCTACCTCTGTCGCCGCGCGCGCGGAGGGCCGTAATCGCCTTGCCCTTCTTCCCCCAATCCCCACCTAACCCCCTCCGACCCCCGATTCGCCGAGCGCGCCTCCCCAGCCCTTCCACCCGACCACGCCGCCGCCCCCGAGGAACTCCCATCCCCACCGCAGCCCGGCCCGTCCCGGCCCTACTGGACTGGCGCGGAGCGGAGGAGATCTGCCCCGACCTCGGTTCCCTCCTCCTACTGTGGTGACGAACCCTAACTCGCCTGTACTGTTCTGATACTCTTGTTGATATGACCCAAGTACTCCTCATCCAGTTTGTCTTGCCTGATTTGTTTGCGTACTAGTACTAGTAATTAATCGCAATTTGCTGATGCAAAAGAGAATAAATTAGGTACGCAGGGGGAATAATGTTGATGTTCAGTTTTAGTTAACATGTTGCCATACCAGTATTACTAGTAGGCTCATGGATTTGAACCCGATACCTCAAATCCCCATTGCTGACAAAGCAACATGGTCGTTTTAAAAATATAAAGTATGTATAATTAGGTGGTCGTAGATGTTGAAATCCGATCTTCCTATCTGCACTTCAGTTTTAATGACATAGGCTAGCTGCCCATTAATTTCTCGCATTTCAGTTTCATCGTTCTCCTTAACTGAGTGCTAGTTGAGTCTGCTTGGTGATGGTATGGTAATTGGATTCATAATATCGGATTTGGTAATGATATGGTCTTTTGGGCTCTACTGAGTGCTAGTCGACTCTGCTTGGTGACTCTGGTTTCCCTTGCTTGAACTTAGGCTGTACACTTACTCTTGTGGTATCTTTGTACATTTCAGAAAAATACGCACTAATTTCATATCATATTTGTTTTAATAATAGCTTCAAAATCTACAAGCTTCGTGTATTGTGAGCCCATAATTTTACCAGATAGACAAGCCCATCAGAAAACACACTCATCATATTTTTTTTTAATTATTTCCAGGGGCATAAACTAGCACGACCAACAGATGGGTAGCTACTGATTGAAGCTCGACCATTTGATGTGAACATTTTGCATTCCTTCAGTGCTTAAGATGGCGGTTGGACTAACATCCCAGCTGTTCCAAGGAGTCACTGCTACCAACAGATTCGGCCAAACCAACAATTTCTGTGGAGTACGACGAATAGCTGGTGTGGAGATGCGACGTTCTCCCCCATCCACTTCGTTTCCTTCACTTGCTTATGTATGCTCTCTTTCAGCCTTTCCAAAGCTAACAGCATTCAAACATTCTTCTTATTCTTTTTGTTACTAGAGGTCTAGGCGATTCTTTTTATCATGTTTGTTACAAGTCATTGAACTGCCAGTGTGTGTTCTCCTACATATATTTATTACCTTGCAAAAGTGTGAAGTATACTTTCATATTTGTGCCTAGTGTAAAGGTAGTAGCTGTCAGTTTAACAAAAGAGAACACATCTTGCAGAATAGGAGGCTGTATAAAATGTATGTCAGAACTCAGAAAGAATGAGCTATCCGTATCCAGTTCTCTTTCACAGGGCACCAGACAAGGCTGGCTACACTTTTCATTCAAATATTTTAATGTTTCAGTTTTCATCTAAGAAGATACTAGACTAAGAATGTAAAGTTACCCTTTGTTTTTCTGTGAATGCTGAGTAATACATTCCAGTTATATATTTATTATCTCATTTGAGCTGTCAAAATCATGCATAAATTTCTTAAATTGTAGATCTTTCTTTCTGTACATTAGTTTCACAAAATTACTCTACATTATACATCTTCCATTGGCCTGAAAACACTAAATCTGATAGATAGTTAACGAGAAGACCATACATACCGTATTCAATGACATGGCACAACCACTTCATTTTTTCTAAAGCATAAAAGTAGGGGGAGAGAGTATAAATGTTGGATTACATGCACTCGTGATTCCCGCAGTCGACATATATTTTTAATCGGAACCATTTGGGATGAAAGCCATCATACTAACACCTCCTGAGGTCAGCTACAGCTCGAGTAAAATGGAGGCTGTTGTACTGATGATTTGGATGGAGAGATCCTTTTGTAAATTAAAGTTAACCTACATCTCAATAGGTTGAGAAATGAGAGTTAACTGTTGAACGACTACTAGCTGGCAAGAATTTGCCTGTGATGACACCAATTGCGTTAGTTGACTAGGCGACTGTGTTCTTTAATAAAACATACTCGTCATCATGAATACATGTCAGTTTAAGGTGTGCAAGGGTCATGTCTTTTGGAATACGGAACATTTCTATTTGCTAATACCTATCCCAGTACTGGCTTGAGTATATGAAACTGACACTTGACTGCGCCAGACAATCTTCCATATTTTTTTTATTTATAGGTTGTTAGTAATATTGTTGAAAGCAAATCAGTTTCAGATGTTGTACCTTGGAGACATAAGTCAAAGCCTCACATTAGGAACAGAGGAGCTCTTCAGTTGATAAAATACTCCAATACACATGTATTCCATGACTTTAGCCTATGTTGGGTAACAGTTTAGTTATACTAGGTTTCTGTAATTCACTTTCATCGACTAAAATTTGAGCGGTGCCATTTGTTATAAGATACTACCTCTGTCTGGAATTAGTTCTCGCTGAAATGGATGTATCTAGACATATTTCAGAGCTAGATACATCCGTTTGAGTGACAAGTAATTCCGGACGGAGGGAGTAATTGGATGCATAATATGTGGAGGGTTGTCGGACACAATTGTTGCTCTATCATAATATATTTATGCATTTTAGGTTGGGTCGGTACTGTAGTCCTGATGTCACACTGGGTTTCTCCCACATTGCTATTGTCTATCTAAAAAAAATGGTTTGTTTGCCTTGCAGGGGCAAGATTCCTTGGTGCATAACTCGTCCGGGAGGAACTACATGCCCATGCTTTATGTGCCTTATAGATATCGGGCCTTGCGTGTTAGATCTTTTGTCTTGCCAGTTGCTTTGAAGGAAATTCCTTTGGTGAAGAGTGCGTCATTAGTATTGACTAGGTAGCTCCCCTCATGGCATAATTTTCTTTTGAAATTTCTAGATTGCTTGGATAGTTTGCATGGATGATTACACTGAGTGGTTTGCCAGTTGACACTAATCTGGATTATTCAATTTCTGATTGACTATAAAAGGAATCTCACAGTAAATATTTTGTAAAGCAGAACATGTAACAACTATATTGTGGTTGGTACCTGGCAACATCTTTGACAGTTGAAGTTAAGATAATGAAGAATCTAGGGTGCTGATTGGATGCCTGAAGATGCTATCACATCTGTATAATGGTTTTTTCTTCTTCTTCAAAAATGATAATAATTAAAACATACTCCCTCCGTCTGAAAATAAGTATCGCTGATTTAGTACAACTTTTGTATTAAAGTTGTACTAAATCAGTGACACTTATTTTGGGATGTAGGGAGTATTAGTTAATGCACGAACATATTGGCCAAGATAGTTTGGCGGTAGTCTTGTGTGCTCCTATAGATAATTCATTAGACTCTTGGCTGTCCTGTTTTTCTGTTCTTGAAGTCATATTTTTACCATTTTATACTGTTTTCAGTCAGTTCATGCTTGAATCGCCACTTTTTAAAAGTTGCTTCTTTTGTTCTTTTGACAGGTCATGCGACACTTTACTTGCAAATCCAGCTACTGCACTCGTGGTACCTGCAATTGGAATAATTGTATTTGCTCTATGGGGTTTTTTGCCTCTAGTGAAGGACATCAGAAACCGTTTTGATGTATGTGCCTTTATGTTCAACCTGATTTTTTAACCTTATATTTATTGGCAGCTAAACAATCAGAGCCTTCCTTAATGTCCCTTGCAGCATGGAGGTAACTGGAAAAAGAGCCCTACATACCTAATTTCTAGTTCCTACCTTCAACCTTTACTCCTTTGGACAGGGGCAACACTTATCTGCAGGTATAGGCACAGCAGAGAGTAATGATTATTTCTTGCACCTATCTGATAGAAACTGCTTCCTCAGAATGTTTAGGTCTGTTGCTGAATTTCCCTTCTGCTCACACATTATCCTACAGGGGTTTGGATCCAGTCGTGTTGCCTTCAGCAGCAAGCCAAGCTGTTAAAACGCGCCTTTTGACTTTTGTGAGATCCTTATCGACCGTCCTGGCTACTGCATATATTATGACAAGGTGCAAATGATACACTCTCAATTAAAAGCCCCAATGACTGTTCGCAAGTTATATTTTTGATGATATAATCACGCAGACGCTTATGGCAGCGTTTCTGTTTCTTGATGCAAACGCACTTACCGGATCTTGGAATTAGGCGACTGAAAATCTCTTATTCTAGCTCAACATCAGTTTTGTTATGTAGCAAGTGGATACCTTAAACCTGTTTGTCTGGTTGAGGTGTCATAGCTGTGGGCCATTAGCTGATATGATTAGTCATCTTTTTACCTATTAGTTTCTTTGCTTGGGCCTTAATCCAATAGTTCAAGATCTGTTGCATTTAGTTAGGTAAGATTATTACTAGAATCCATTCTTTCTTTTAGCTGATGTTTTTGGGGCCTGTCTGTACAAAAGGGGAAGCAACCCAATTGAAATGAACTAATAAAGATTAAACCGAACTATTCTATCACCGTTATGTCTCGTCGTCTCTCCCTTGCCAAAGCACCTCCGTATCTTCTCTCTTCTCCAATCTACCTACTGTAGTCTTTCCCCACTGTCATGTCGTTTGAGATTCTCTAACTTATTGAAGGTAAGTCTGAGAGCTATTATGATTTGTAGCACAGTGGGGCTATAGTAAGTAACCTGCCTTTAGATCCCATCCCCCCAAACCACACAGTGCCAATATTTATCCAAGTTTGCCCCCTATAATTCAAACTACCATGTTCCACTAATGTTAAAATTATTTTGATTACTTGGCTGCTTTTATTGGGTTTTCCAGTATTATAAATCATCTGTAATTAAACCAACTTGACTTGTGCCCACAATTTTGATCCCCAGCTTAAAAAGTCCCAAACAAAATCACTAAATAATCAGAATAATAGGCACTCATGATTGTACCTGAACTAGCACGTTGCCCGTATGTCGCTACGGAGCTATAAAAAAGACTAGGGATTGGACTACCGGCTTAGGAGCTCGTCAAAAGATGTTGGTGTTTTGCAGCTGTTGCACAGTTCATGATTAAGAAGAGAGCAAAAATACAATGAAAGATCATGTTGCGGAAGTTGGAGTCTTAAGTGGCCATAGTAGGGCCCTTCACAATATTTAAAGTGAGACAGATTTTTGAAACTTAGGAGAATAGGCATGAATAAGTTCACTGCACAGGATCATGAATTGGCTAGGATGACACAGTCTAGTGTCCCGTTTTTTTTGCAATTTGCTCACTCTCTTATGTTGTACTCCATATAGAATTAGAGGAATTTGTCAGGAAGTGAAACTAAAACCATGAGCATGATTTATGGTGGGGTCGCATTTCCACATTTGTTACCTAAGTTTTTTTTAACAAGAGTGCTATTCTCACATTAAAGTAGTACTCCCTCCGATCCGAATTAATTGACGCATCCTCTATACAATCACCCTCTAATATGTACTAATACCGCGTCAGTTAATTTGAACCAGAGGGAGTAGTATATTTGTTTATTTGTGTTATGTATGACATGGGAGTCAAGGTACATTTGTTTATTAAAGTCTTTCGAAAGGTTGCTGGTGCACATGTGGATAGAAATGCATTTGTTTATTCATTTGTTGGTAACATATGTGAACTCACCACCAACTTCAACCTTTATAAGTAGGAAAGAGAATGTGTTGACTTCCTTGTAAAATGACACCCCCCTTCCGGTATTTATTTGACTGCTCCTGACCAGTTTAGAGAGCTACAGCACATATTTTTTACTCTAGATATTCGACAACAAAGTTCCTTGTAGTGCTCTACTGCCGTAGAAAGAGGTGTATGCAAAAAGTGTTGAGATGTTATGTAGAAAATCTACTCTTGTTTGTATGGCTGGTGGGTTACTTATGTCTTAGTTTTTTATCCATGCTTCCAGTTCTAACATAATTTATCTTCTCTCAGCTTGATTCAGCAGGTACAGAAATTTCTAGTGGACATACGAAGCCCCAGTGATACACGAGCTGTAAGAATTATTTCCTTATATCACAGTGATTACGTTGTTAGAATACCTACTGTTGTTCTATCAGCTGGATTTCAGTTCTAGTTATATAAAGGATTCTATCAGCAGGATTTCAGTTTACATTATGATGCATTTGTTTCTGAAGGAAATAGTAAATGGATATGATGCATATTTAAGGGTTTGTAGGGATAAGCATATATAAGGATGGGAGTTTGTTGGTGGGGGGGATTCTCTTTCTGCAGTATTCTGCAGCACTTTTACTGACTTCCTATGAGAATTGGGAGAGGTGGGGGTGAAGGTTGTATATCAATTTGTTGAAGAAGTCTTTTTCCTGGTTTTCTTTGTAGCGATTCCGTTTGGGAGGTTAGAGTTTATGAAGATAGAAAGAATGATGTTTTGATACTTTTTTTCGAAGCGTAGATTGTTATTCGAAATTATATTTACTCTTTGTTTTTGTAGACATTATTGAATACTATAAGTCTGATGCTGCATTAAGTACTTAATATCTTGGATTAAACTTTCTCAATGTTGGTGCTCTCAGTGAAACTGATGCTAAATTTGATATTCGGTCTTATTAAGCTGGAGTACTTATTTTTCATTGTACTTGTATCATATAAGTTGCCCCTCAATTTGTTCCAGTACTTATATTGCGCTGTACTTATAGCATATAAGTTGTCCCTCAATTTTTTCCATTGTTGTAACCATACTTATGCAAGTCTGTCTGTGGCAGATGGGGTTGGATTTTACCATGAGAGCTGTTTACACTGGTATCTGGATTGCTGCTGTTTCTCTCTTTATGGAGTTGCTGGGTTTCAATACCCAGAAGTGGATAACTGCTGGAGGTTTCGGGACAGTATTGCTTACGCTTGCTGGTCGTGAGGTACTGCATTTTTGTTATTGGTAGTGTTAGCTTGTTCTGTACTTTTTTTTGACCAAAATAGCTTGTGCTGTACTGATTACTATGGTCTTCCATTGCAGATTTTTACAAATTTCCTCTCAAGTGTTATGATCAATGCCACCCGCCCATTTGTAGTGAGTGAATGGATCAATGCAAAGATAGATGGTGTTGAGGTATCTGGTATTGTTGAGGTCAGTATTTTGTATGCTTTATTTGAACTTCCTTGAACCATCTAGCATATGATGTGGATTTGCTGTTTTCTTTGTTCCATTTTGTGGACCAAAGCAGGAACCATCTAGCTAGGAAGTTATTCGTCCCACAATTCAGAATTTCATGAACTAATATCAGCTACTACCTCATACAAGATATTTATACGTTTCATTCTATCTTCATAATTTCACGTAATTTGATTTTTAGCATTTTTCCCATAACCAGACCTTTATTTATATCCACTGATATTAGTCCCTTATACATGATATTATTGATGTTTCATTTTGTCACGACACCAAGTAATTTGCTTTTCAGCATGTTGGCCTGTGGTCACCAACAATCATTAGAGGCGATGACAGAGAAGCTATATACATCCCTAATCATAAATTCACAATGTCTATATTGAGGAATAACACTCGGAGAAACCATTGGCGTATTAAGACATATCTTGCTATAAGCCACATGGACGCTGGAAAAATTGGTGTAAGAATTTTGAATAAATCCTGCACATTACATATTTCTCTTTAACTGTGTATTGGTGCATTAACTCTTAGGACCTATTTTAACCATGTTTTTCTGTTTTTTTGGTAGATAATTGTTGCAGACATGAGGAAAGTGTTGGCCAAGAATCATCATATTGAACAACAGAAGTTGCATAGGAGAGTATTCTTTGAAAAAATTGATCCGAAAACTCAAGCTCTTATGGTAATTTCTTATATTAAGCAAATCCATTTTTTCATTTAAATACAAGTCATAGGTGACCCTTTTAAAGGGCTGTTTGGTAGGACAGTTATTGACTTGGCTAGGAATTGTTGAAGAAAGATGGTTCTAGATGGGAAAACATGAACACCCTTAAGTCATATAACTTGAATGTGTTCACATTGCACATGTGCATTGATGGCATAAGAAAGATGGTTCTAGATGGGAAAATTTCAAATGGCCGGTGGGGAACTTGATGCTCGTTTAGTTAAACCATAGTATTTATTAGTGCCTTTGTATTTACATTTTTCTAATTTATCAGTACTAATTCATTTGATGATCATGCAGTACATTTACTGGGAGAAAGTGCAGCCAACAATTGTAGAAACATTTGATCCCTTATCGTCTGAGTACCCACTGATGTTTAATTGGCCTGAAATTGAGTCTCAAAAGCATGACGAGTATGACACATTGAACTGGCATGTCCGTACGCTTTTGGGCCTCAATTTCAGGCCAATTAAGCATTAATGAGTACTCAGATGATAAGGGATTAAATGTTTCTACAGCTGTTGGCTGCACTTTCTCCCAGTAAATGTGCTGCATGATCATCAAATGAATTAGTACTAATAAATTGAAAAAAATGTAAAACATATGCACTAATAAATACTGTGTTTTACTTGAACGAGCGCCAAGTTTTTCACCGCCCATTTGAATTTCTTGCCATCCAGAACCGTCTTTCTTATGTCATCAATGCACACGCGTAACGTGAATGCTAACCAGTATATGACTTAATGGCGTCCATGTCCTCCACCAATTTGTAAAAGCGGTGAGGAACATGCTTGGTGGAGTGCGGTGCTAAAACAATGCTAAAGAGAATCAATATAGCCCTCCCCACGAAGTCATCGTCATATGTGTCAGTCTCGACAATGTTTCTGTTCAAATCGTCTATTATTATTTCACCATTTTTTCTATTCACGAAATGAGGTGGCACAATTTCCTTTCTGTCCTCTCCTACTTCAGGTAGCACTTTCATGACATCCTCACCCTTGGTTTCTAGTCCGAATATGTTATGACCGGTTTGGTCTATACTAGGAAGAGGCCCACCGGGCATTAGTATTAGGGGCTTGGCCCACAAGTTATCTTAGGCAAGTTATCTTAGGCTAAAGTTATAAATACTCGTGTAAGACATCGTTTGAGAGCAAGCAATAAGAAGAATATTATCTCCTATTGCCCGGCTCCCTGAGGAGCCGGAAACTCTAGCCGCCAACAGCCCTAACCGCCGCCGCCCTTCTCCTAGCTCGCGACGGCGCCTTGTCGCCGGCGCGCCCGTTCCTCGCCACGCCCTCCTCCATCCTTCCCTTACCACCTACGGCCTAGACCTGGTAGAGTACTTGATTCTACCAATTTGGTATCCAGAGACACCAGGCCGATCATGTCACTCCCTCCATCACCGCCGCCGTTACCATCCACCTCCGTCCCGTTCTCGCTGCCGCCGGCCACTTCCACGGCGATGACGGAGATCGCGTCCGGGACCACCGCCCCCTCCGCGCCAGCGGCCATCACCACTACGGGGGATTCGCCCCCGCTCCTCTCGCCGGAGGAGGTGTCGGGCACCCTGCGGGAGCTTGTCCAGGCGGTCAGGGGCATTACCCTCTACCTCGCCGGGAACCAGCCCCCGCCACCGAGCGCCGTCACCACCGCCTACGGACCGCCGCCGCTACAGTGGGCCGCCCCGGCCCTCCAGGCACCCTCCGGAGGGGCGCCCCAGCCGCCGCTGCTGCTGCCGCACTACTCGGCGGTGGAACAGCCTTGGCCAGCGTGGCCGGCCTCCATTGCGCCGCTGGGGGCCCGACCCAGCAGTTTCTTCCGGCGCCACCGCCGCCCCCCCGACGCAGGCGCCGGTGCAGTAGCTCCACCCGGCGCCACCGCCATCGTCAGCACCACCACCCGCGTCTCGGGCCACGGGTCGGCCCCTGCACCAGGTGCAGTTTCCACCGTCACCATCGCCGATCCCCGCGTGCGCGACCGGCTCGTCTCCGGGCCCGGTATACTCCACGGCGCCGGAACACCCGACACCCTCCCTACGATTCGATCACCCCTCCAGCTCAGCGAACTACGCCCCGGCGCTTTCCGAACCGGCATACGCGCTGCTGGCGACTGCGGCCGCCCCCGGGCACGGCGGGCCGCCACCCCCTCGCTTCGCCAAGCTGGACTTCGCCACCTACGAGGGCACGGAGGACCCCCTCAACTGGCTCAACCAGTGCGAGCAGTTCTTTCGAGGGCAACGGACGCTCGCTTCGGATCGTACTTGGCTCGCTTCCTATCATCTTCGAGGCGCAGCACAAACTTGGTACTACGCTCTCGAGCAGGACGAGGGCGGCATGCCACCATGGGAGCGCTTCCGGGAGCTTTGTCTCCTCCGCTTTAGGCCTCCTATTCGCGGGAGCCGACTGGCGGCCCTCGGCCGTCTACCTTTCACATCTACGATGCAGGACTACGCCGACCGCTTCCAGGCCCTGGCGTGCCACGCGTCGGGCGTCTCCGTGACCCAGCGCGCCGAGCTCTTTGTGGGCGGCCTGCCGGACCATGTTCGCGTGGACGTCGAGCTCCGGGACCCCCCGACCTCCAGACGGCCATGTACTACGCCTGGGCCTTCGAGCAGCGGGCCCAGGCACTGCAGCAGCCACTCGGACGGAGCGGCCGCCAGCCCAGTCGGCCAGCTCCGACTCCCCCAGCCCCAGGTCGGCCTCCTCCAGCCGCGACGGCCACACCCCCGGCCGCCACACGACCTTTCCGTCGGCTATCACCGGCTGAGCAGCAGGAGCGCCGCCGTCAGGGTCTCTGCTTCAACTGCGATGAGCCATACACGCCGACCCATGTCTGCCCCCGCCTATTTTATTTGGAGACGGTCGACTACACTGAGGCGGACGACTTGCCCGACGCACTACCTCCACCTGCGTCGCCCGAGGACGTGGCCGCGGATCCCGCGGCGACGGCGTGCGTCGTCTCCCTTCACGCCCTGGCCGGCATCCGGGGCGAGCGGACCATGCTGCTGCCTGTGACGATACATGGCGCGCGCCTGGTGGCCCTGCTGGATACGGGCTCCACTCACAACTTTCTGCCCGAGTTGACCATGCGTCGACTAGCCCTTCTGACGACAGGCGGGGAGCACCTGCGGATCACGGTGGCGAACGGCGATCGCCTCCGGTGCCATGGACTCGCCCGGAACGTTCCCATCTCCATCGGTGGCGAACACTTCTCCATCACCTGTGCAGGGATCGACCTCGGCTGCTTCGACTTCATTCTTGGGGTGGACTTCCTCCGGACCCTCGGCCCCATCTTGTGGGATTTCGATGCGCTCACGATGACATTCTGGCGGCAGGGCCGCCGCATCCGGTGGGAGGGCCTTGGGGGCGCCGCGCCGGCCGTGCCACACCTCCAGTTGGCCGCCGCGTCCTCGGAGGCCGAGCACCCCCTGCTGGATTCCCTTCTGCAGCAGCACAACAACCTCTTCGACGAGCCACAGGGTCTTCCGCCTGCCCGGGTGTACGACCGTCATATTCACCTCATACCGGGCTCCACTCCGGTGGCGGTGCGGCCCTACCGCTACCCCCAGCTGCAGAAGGATGAGTTGGAGCGCCAGTGTGCACTGATGCTCGCCGCGGGCATCATCCGGATCTCCACGTTGCCCTTCTCGGTGCCGGTGCTTCTCGTCCGTAAGTCGGACGGCACATGGCGCTTCTGCATCGACTACCGCGCCCTCAACGCGCTCACGCTCAAGGACAAGTTCCCTATACCGGTGGTCGACGAGCTCTTGGATGAGCTCCACGGGGCGCGCTTCTTCACCAAGCTCGATCTCCGGTCGGGCTATCATCAGGTGCGCATGCATCCGGACGACATCGCCAAGATGGCATTTCGCACCCACCATGGTCACTTCGAGTTCTTGGTGATGCCCTTCGGCCTCGCCAACGCCCCGGCGACGTTCCAGGCCCTAATGAACGACGTCCTTCGACCCTACTTACGGCGGTTTGTGCTTGTTTTCTTTGATGACATTCTTATCTACAGCGCCACCTGGGCCGAGCATCTCCAGCACGTCGCCATCGTCTTCAACGAGCTTCGAGCGCACCGCCTCCACCTTAAGCGCTCGAAGTGCTCGTTTGGGACGCCTACCGTCGCCTACCTCAGCCATGTCATCTCGGCCGACGGGGTGGCCATGGACGCCGATAAGGTGGCGGCCGTCTCCGCATGGCCAACGCCTCACTCGCTGCGGGCTCTCCACGGGTTCCTCGGACTCGCCGGCCACTACCGGAAATTTATCCGGGAGTTCGGACTCATCGCGGCGCCCCTCACGCGGTTGCTTCGCCGCGACGCCTTCGCCTGGGACGACGAGGCGACGGCGGCGTTCGAGACCCTCAAGGGGGCCCTCACAACGGGCCCCGTCCTCCAGATGCCACACTTTGACCGCCCGTTTGTGGTGGACTGTGACGCCTCGGGCGCCGGTTTCGGCGCCGTACTTCATCAGGGCGATGGGCCCCTCGCTTTCTTCAGTCGGCCTTTCGCGCCGCGCCAATGCTGGCTGAGGTCCGTCAGCGTCTACTTCAGGCCCAGCAGACGGTCAAGCACTACTACGACGATCATCATCGCGAGGTGGAGTTCGCAGTGGGTGACTGGGTGTGGCTGCGTCTTCTCCACCGCTCTACGCAGTCACTGGACCCACGCGCGAAGCGCAAGCTCGGCCCTCGCTACGCTAGGCCCTTCCCTATCATGGAGCGCATCGGGAAGGTGGCCTATCGTCTTCAGCTTCCAGCCCGCGCTCGCATCCACGACGTGTCCCATGTGGGGCTGCTCAAGCCTTTCCGTGGCGAGCCACCGGCGGCCCCTCCGGCGCTTCCTCCAACTGCCGATGGTCGCATTCTTCTAGAGCCAGCAAAGGTGTTGCAGGCCCAGCTCCGTCGTGGCATCTGGTTCCTCTTAGTTCAGTGGGCAGGCCTTTCGGAGGAGGAGGCTACTTGGGAACAGCGTGAGGAATTCCGTCAACACTATCCAGACTTTCAGCTCGAGGACGAGCTGTTTGCGCAGGCGGGGAGAGATGTTATGACTGGTTTGGTCTATACTAGGAAGAGGCCCACCGGGCATTAGTATTAGGGGCTTGGCCCACAAGTTATCTTAGGCTAAAGTTATAAATACTCGTGTAAGACATCGTTTGAGAGCAAGCAATAAGAAGAATATTATCTCCTATTGCCCGGCTCCCTGAGGAGCCGGAAACCCTAGCCGCCAACAGCCCTAACCGCCGCCGCCCTTCTCCTAGCTCGCGACGGCGCCCTGCCGCCGGCGCGCCGGTTCCTCGCCACGCCCTCCTCCATCCTTCCCTTACCACCTACGGCCTAGACCTGGTAGAGTACTTGATTCTACCAGAATATGTGGAACACATCATCGTAACACACTGTTATGTCACCATTCTTAGGTTGCAAAAGAACCTTCTTTTAGTTATGTCATATGCTTTAATCATATATTTGAGCAGGTTCTTCCGCATTAGCACATTAGGAATTTGCAACATTATCTACAAACTAGTGCCACGAAGCCAAAGAAGTTGTTTAGAGTTAAATTTGTTCACCAAAGTGCACCACTAACCTTTTGGGCCTCAATTATCAATCTGTTTTAGCTTGTCAAAACTTAAGCATGAAGAAACCTCTAATCTGCAAGTTGGTTGCTGGTGGTAAGGACTAGTTACCTTTTTGTTTTACTGGTGTCTCTTGTTTTCACATCTGCCTTCCCCTTGTTCAACGGGTATCAAGATTGTAGGCTAAATGTGCATGCATAATTTTTTATATTCTTGAAATATCAGAGCACTTGCCGTTCGATTGTCTTCAGTTTTACATTGTGCCAAAATTTGCGTCCTTATAAGTATCTTATGTATCGTGCTGTTGTGCTGTCCTGCAGATATACATATCCTGCTTTGTGAAGACATCGCATTTTGAAGAGTATCTAAATGTCCAGGTAATTTATTCTGTATCTGATGCTCCATATTCTCCTTGCAACAGATGTGGGGGCATATTAATTTGTATATAGCATATACATGGTGTGATAAAATTGCTGCTCAGTTTAGGTAGGACCAGTTGTACCAATTGTTTTGATGTTCCTTATTGCAACAGGAAGCTGTTATGTTGGATCTTCTTACAATAGTTGGGCACCACAGGGCAAGGCTTGCCACGCAGATCCGAACAGTTCAGAAATCATATGGCAACGCAGACATTGACAACATTCCTTTTGGAGAGGATACATATAGTCCTCGTGCACGTGGCCGTCCGCTCCTGATCGATACTTCTGCAAGGATCAGTGACGACAAGAAACCTCCTCGACCAGTGGTAGCACGTGAAGATCAGAAAGCAAAGGTGGCCAGTGTATCAGCGGTAGAGACGAAGTCAGATGCACCTGATGGTTCTAGTTTAAACAACTCGGAGAAGCAGGAGGAGAAAAAGTTGGTTCCAGACGATGCTGGGTTGAAGAAGGATCATGTGAAAACAACAATACCATCTCCCACAACTCCATGGGCAGATCCTGTTGCGTCTACTACTTCCAGGACTGATGAAGGGAAGGCTCAAGGATCAGAAGGACAAGGGGATGGTTCTTCAGTTGCTACGCCAAAGAAGGAATCTAGTAGACCTGCCTTTGAAGACAACATTGTTCTTGGTGTAGCTCTCGAGGGCTCGAAGAGGACACTCCCAATCGATGAAGGAATGAACCCTCATCTATCGCTATCTGAACCTGAGCAAGACGCTGGTTCGTCGCCTAAGAAGAAAGGTCAAAGCTACTCACTTTCAGGCCAAGAGAAGGCGGACTAGACAGGTGACGGATCCATGTCGTCGGATCTCTATGAATGATTTGTCACCAAGCCGACCTTTTTTGTGCGCTTGTGCAAATGCAATCAGTCACTCGGTCATACAGCTAGCTCTTCTTTTTCCATGTTTAAGGGCATGAATACATGTTTATTTCTGGGAACCAATGTACCTTAGGCATCGATCGCTGTCAGGCTTGTGACGTCACAAGAGAAATATTCTGTACATATGGTGCATCTGCTGGCTGTAACGATCTTCTAGATAAAGTTGATTTATGTTGGTTCTTGGTGGTCTAGGTGGATTCTTGTGATATTGGAATCATGTTCCGCTGCCATCAGCTACAGACTGACTGAAATGCTCTGCTTGATGCAGAGCGAGTGTGTAAAGGGCATTTCGAAACCACTTGACATGCAAATAGCATCCGAATTGGGTGGTCATGTAGTACATGGATGCTGTGATGGATGATCGATTTCAAGATTTTTTTGAGAAGACATACATTTACATATGATGATCGGTAGAATGGTTTTACATTTCTGAATCACAAGTCCGGAATAATTTAGGCCCAAAACGGAGTAGTAACTATTTTATACAATGGACACACATGAACTTGTCACTGTGAAACAGAACATGGACATAGCATGATCACATGATTTTTAGTGTGTACTCGCATGATAAAAGATATGTTAAAATTGTTTCTGAACGACTTGGTCAACACTTATCACATGCTTAGCAAACAAAAATTATATACAGACCCACACATACTACCTGCCTTGAGAATTAGGATGTCATAGGCCCATTGTTTACGAGTGTAGATACGTTTTCTTCCATATTACTTTCAATCTATAGAATATACTCCGAAATATTGGAGGAAAACATAAAATTATGATAAGCAATTTAGTATACTGCCTTCATCAAGATGCCCATAAAATCTAGAAGAGCCACCCCCCTGGATAGTTAGACAATGGTTTTGTACTTTTGTACAATAAATTATTGTCCTTGTGAGGCTAATACAATTCTTTTTCATTTCAATTAGATTGGACCCACACTGCTGTTGCTGCAATAGAAGCATTGCCAATCGTTGGTTTGAGGCAGAGATCTCAGAGCTCTTTAACGGTTCTTGTAATTAAGACGGGTCGTTCATTCGTAGAAATTCAACAGTGAAAATTGGTTTATACTAATTTTCAACCACACCACTGTGTTCTTCTGCCTGTCGCCAACATTGCCCCTATGGTCATGTGACCTAAATTTTGGATTTTATTTATCAAGATGATGCGATTACGAAACTCTCATGGATTTAACTGCATGTAGTTATCAATTGTCATACCTGATGCATTTTATATACGAGAATGTGGTCTTGTATGTGATCAAATTTTCTTGGCTTTTATTTTTGACGGCGCTGCTAGCATGAGCAGTGTTTGTTTCGCACATGCATGTTCTGTCATTATTCAGTGCGGTGTTTATGTAGAGCTAATTCAAAAGTCTTCAGCTAGCTTCTCACCCTTGCTCCTTATCCCCATCTCCTGCTCTTGTATCCCTCCCCTGCTTGCTGATTTCTCTCGCCAAATCTCATTGTATCCCCAACTTGTACCCAAATGCCGGTATTGATCCTGAGTGTTCGTCTCATCTCTCTGTTTGGGTTGTGACACCAAGGTAGTGGCCCTGCAACTTTGCCCGTCATTTTGACAACCAGTTTACTTTCTTCAGATTTATAGGTACACTCAGATCCATTCCTAGGTATTGAATAAGTCTTGAAAGGGAGTATCTATGCACCGGACGTCCATGAACTTCTCACCATTCTTCATGCAATTGGCATTCAACTACTCACTTCATGATGTTTTCACCATTCTTCTTTATTTTTCCTTTTACAAGAGGAACCAAAAAATGGAAGCAGACTGGTCACATGATTTGTGTGGTGTGCACTCCAATGCTATAACAGTTTTTGAATGACTTGTTCAACACTATCTGCATGTTTAGCTGAGAAAAAAAAACTATACATAGACTTACTATATATACTCACCTACATTGTGAACAAAGGTGTGAAAAGTCTATTAATGTAATGAGTTTGGATTTGTTTTCCTCCATGTTAGTTTTAGTCCGTGGTATACTCTGAAATATTGGAGGAAAACAAAAGAGCATGGTAAGCACATACTTTTTGCAGCGGCACCAAGATATTTGTAAATTTCAAATACAATCATTTGAGCGAGGAACTTGAGTTGAAATACCACACGGAGCAAGGAAGGAGAAGCGCTTGTCGCTGCTTGTGATGCGACTGGATTTACTGCAATATGGACTGCCTTAGAGACTGCTGGTAGGCGGAAGATACTAATATTGACATGTGCCCACATGATCGAGCACATAGACCATGGTGCTTGGCGGCCGATTGATATGGACACGGTGAACAACCTCTATGACATTCAGTTGTATTGCCCCCACTCTGAGGTCTGTCGCAGCATCAACTACAGCACGAGTCCCTGCCGTTGATGGTGTATGTGAGAGAAATTGCAACTGAGACCATAGGCCGTACCATCTCTCTACCTGTACATGACTGTCGATGCAGTTAAGGAAACAATGTATGTTCATTGCTATATATGTTTTTTTTACACTGGAACACCTTGCATTCCAAATTATGACGGACCGACCAAACCGGCGGGATTAAAACCAAAGTTTTAAATAGCGCGCTAAGCATCTTAGCGCCGGACCTCTTTCAAATGCTATAGCGTGCTATAGCGGAGCTATAGCGCGCTATTTAAAATGTTTGTTCATTTGTTTGGACCAAAGTCTCTTAACGCAAGACCTTTTGTAAACGCTATAGCGTGCTATAGCGGAGCTATAGCGGGCTATTTGAAACAGTGATTAAAACCTGGCACTCCGCATTGCTCTGGCTACCATAAGACACCAGCACACACGCTCCAGGACAGTACAAGACTTGATAATCAATAAAACCCATCCGGACTAAATACTTCGCTTCACGAAAGAGCACGCCAAGAGGACGTCGATCAAGCTTAGTAGAGGCGACAGCCTGTTGGAGCTCTCTCCCGTCCGTTTCACCTTTTGGCATTATACCAGATCAACATGAACTCTGTACGCAGATCGGACAGAGAACATGCCTTTGCTATCGAAACGCCAGGCTATAAAATCATCATACCGCTCTCTAACTGGAATATGCATGGTTGCCTTCGCATCCTCGGCGCAAAACGTTTATATCGTCTCCGGACCCAACTCACCAGATCATACCCGCCCTCACCACTTGCACTCCTGGCAATATGTTACACCAAACATAGCTCATTCCAGCCTTAGGTTCTGCTTGCAACATGTCTCCTGCTGGGCAGTACTTTGCTTTGAGTACGCGAGCGCACAAAGAGTCACGGGGCTTGTAAGTCTCCACACCTGTCGGGCTCGGGCGAGCATGGCAATATTGAAGGAGTGTAAATCATGGAACCCCGGTCCCTCTTTTCCTTTGGAAGCTTCAATCTTTGCCATCCAACCTAGTGATGTTTGTGCTCATCCTCCTGACTTGCCCACCAGAATTTTCAGACCATCTGACTAATGCTCTCAATCTTGCCATATATGTTTGCCTACTCATGATAACGTCTGACTACTTACTTACGTTAAGATCAAGTATATTTCACAGCCAAAATATATTAAAAATACCAAGCTCACTAGATTTGAAGCCTTCTGGTGTGTCGGGGGCTGCGGGTTTGCTGGGGCCTGCCTATAAGGGCGTTAAATTCACAAATATTTTTAAATTTTACGGACATACTTAAGTCTGTGAGCATTTTGTAAATTTTCTAACTTTATTTCAAATTTGTGATTTTTTTAATCTATGAATATTCTTATAAAAAATCATGGTTTTTTGTTCGCAATTTTAAAAAAACCTAGATTTGTAAAAACTACAAACATCTTTTGATTTAACTACCTTTTCTCAAATAAAAAGGGTAACCGGCCTTTTACGAGTTAGCAGTAAAGCGAGCCTAGAAAAAAATTGAGCTAGCGAGTGGAGTAGGGAGCTAAGCTGAGTGAGCGACAACTTCGCCGGCCAACCCATGTGAACTTTATAGCAACAGTTGCATGGTATCAATGTGGAATATGAGCTCTCAAGGGGCTCACACAAGAATAGCTGACACCGAGGCCAAAAGATGCAATGACACCACGACCACGCATCAAGCAACTCCACTCTCCTCTTATAAGAAATACCGTCTCTAACAACAACCCATCATGATATACGAACGGAAAACACGACCAGAGCGTAACTAAATACCAAGCCAACACAGATAAAAACCAAAACGAAAACAACCGGCCACAAATAACCTGCTAGAAAAAAGGACATCCCAGGAATGAAGAACAGCGTGGCGAAGCGCGTATTAGCCTCCAGTTGGTATCTAGGTTTGATGGTGCGTCATGTATGTCAAAACAACACTATATTGTACATATTCCACGCATGCCAGTCAACAACGGATTCTAAAGAAAGATGATTATTTGGCAGCGAGCTTGGTTTCTCTTCCTCTTCGTGGTGGTGTTGTCTGCTATGTGTTGGTGTGGTGCGTGACATTTGTGTCTTATGTGCTTCTTCGAGTGTTTAGCTCGTTGACTGGAGGTGCAAGGATGGCACGATGCGTGTGGGTCATCTCTCAGTCGGCACTTGTTGGTGCCACGGTTATGTTTGGTGGTGTTTTGGTTGGTTGTTGGCCTAAATGGGTGTATTTATGCTATGGACACCCATGAACTTCTCACTATACATCATGTTATTGACATTGAACTACTCATTTCATGAAGTTTTTGCGTTCTTTTCTCTTCCTTAGTTGAAAAAGGAAACAAAACATGGATGTAGAATGGTCACATGATTTTTAGTCTGTACTCACATGATAAAAGAGATGTTGAAACAGTTTTTGAACTACTTGCTCAACACTTATCGCATGCTTAGCTAACAAATTATATATATAACCCCACACCACACATACTATCTGCCTTGAGAATTAGGATGTCAAAGGTCCATTGTTTATGAGTCT